AGAAACACATCTATCGAAAACTTCAGCATCTATTCTAAACGAACCGATTCAAATGGAAAACAATAATTCTCAGGTTATGTTACGAAACGTGCGTAAAGATGAGTGCCCTTGTGCGGAGAGATGACGAGTCAGCATCGTCGGCTTCATCACTGCAGACGAGAACACAGAAAACACCAGTTTATCTAGAAACGATTCACATGTTCACAGTCTCCTTGCGGTATATTCACGACTCATTCATAATCATTAGTTCTGCCGGTGCGCTGTGGCAAGCTTTATGCGTGTGTTTGAGCGCTCATTAGGCTATGTACAGTATAGGCAATTAAAGGCTCATTGTTATGATTTGGCTTATTAATATACATATGCGATTAGACGACTAATCGCTTAAACGAACGACTTCTAGTCAAGTAGAAAAATCTTTAGTCGAGGGAAGCCCTATTGATTACATTATGATGAGAACATAACACAACATAATATCATAACGCAACATAACATAACATACTGTAACACAACATAATATAACATACTGTAACACAACACAACGTAACATACTGTAACACAACACAACATAACATACTGTAACAACACAACGTAACATACTGTAACACAACAAACACAACACAACGTAACATACTGTAACACAACACAACATAACATACTGTAACACAACATAATATAACATAACATACTGTAACAACACAACATACTGTAACACAACATACTGTAACAACACAACATACTGTAACAACACAACACAACACAACATACTGTAAAACACAATATAACATACTGTACCACAACATAACATACTGCAACACAACACAACATACTGCAACACAACACAACATACTGTAACGCAACGTAAAATACTGTAACACAACATAACATACTGTAAAACACAATATAACATACTGCAACACAACACAACATACTGTAACACAACACAACATACTGTAACACAACACAACATACTGTAACGCAACGTAAAATACTGTAACACAACATAACATACTGTAACACAACATACTGTAACACAACACAACGTAACATACTGTAACACAACAAACACAACACAACGTAACATACTGTAACACAACACAACATAACATACTGTAACACAACACAACGTAACATACTGTAACACAACAAACACAACACAACGTAACATACTGTAACACAACACAACATAACATACTGTAACAACACAACGTAACATACTGTAACACAACAAACACAACACAACGTAACATACTGTAACACAACACAACGTAACATACTGTAACACAACATAATATAACATAACATACTGTAACAACACAACATACTGTAACACAACATACTGTAACAACACAACATACTGTAACAACACAACACAACATACTGTAAAACACAATATAACATACTGTACCACAACATAACATACTGCAACACAACACAACATACTGCAACACAACACAACATACTGTAACACAACACAACATACTGTAACACAACACAACATACTGTAACGCAACGTAAAATACTGTAACACAACATAACATACTGTAACACAACACAACATATAACGCAACATAACATACTGTATCACAACAAACACAACATAACATACTGTAACAACATACAGTAACACCACAACATAAACTGTACCACAACATAACATACTGTAACACAACTAACGCAAAAAAACACAACATAACGCATAACACAACACACTATAACACAACATAACACAACACGACATAAGATACTGTAACAACACACACAACACACTGTAACACAACACAACACAACATAACATACTGTAACACAACATAACATACTGTAACACAACATAACATACTGCAACACAACACACCATACTGTAACACAACATAACATACTGTAACACAACATAACATACTGTACCACAACACAACATACTGTAACACAACACAACATACTGTAATGCAAGGTAACATACTGTAACAACACAACATATAACGCAACATAACATACTGTACTACAACACAACATACTGTAACACAACACAACATATAACGCAACATAACATACTGTACCACAACATAACATACTGTAACACAACACAACATATAACGCAACATAACTTACTGTACCACAACACAACATACTGTAACACAACACAACATACTGTAACACAACACAACATACTGTAACACAACATAACATACTGTAACACAACATAACATATAACGCAACATAACATACTGTAACACAACACAACATATAACGCAACATAACATACTGTACCACAACAAACACAACATAACATACTGTAACAACATACAGTAACACCACAACATAAACTGTACCACAACATAACATACTGTAACACAACTAACGCAAAAAAAAACACAACATAACGCATAACACAACACACTATAACACAACATAACACAACACGACATAAGATACTGTAACAACACACTGTAACACAACACAACACGACATAACACACTGTAACACAACACAACAGAACACAACAAAAAAATTATTTTGCTCAATTGGCCTATTGATTACGTTATGAATAATGAATCATGTTAGGGTTAAATGTACATCTGATCCATGGAATTATTAAATAATGACGAAAAGAAAAGAAAAGAAAAGATAAAATGATGATATGATAAGATAAGATCAAATATGCCAGATGCCCTGATTCTAACGGGTCTCACATTAATTTTTAACTTCAAAATAAAAACATGTGTTACTATACAAAACTAAATGAATTACTGCATTCACAAAGCTCACATTAACCAACAGACATGAAAACATTAATAATATGCAAAATAAAATAAATACACAGATCACTGACACACACTAACCTCAACTCTTCAGAGGAACTAATCTCACAAACGTTTATGTTCAGAGAAAAGTGAAGATTAATGAGAACAGAAACCATTGAATAAATGAGTAGAGTTGACATTTGCAGTGAAGAGTAAACCTGAACACTGGCGTGTGTGTGTGTGTGTGTGTGTGTGTGTGTGTGTGTCATCAGCATCTGTCCGACTCTGCCCTCTAGTGGCGGTGCAGAACACACACCACTTCCTTCTGAACATCACAACCAGCCAAAAAACAACTGTACCCGTATTTTGATACTTTTCTTTTGATCCTGTTATTAATATGGGATATGAATTGTCTGTATCTGCAATAGAGTCGTACACACGCTGCACGTACAATAAAGATCTGCTTCATTGCTGATAGATTTCCTAAAAGGGATTGCAGGTACAAATCACTTCATCTGATGCTCTTTTTGTTCTGTTTTAAAAGTATCCTGGTATTATTTCAATGTAGAAACTGTTCAGTGTGAGTGAACTGAGCGAATGAATCAAACTGAGCCGTTTGAAGAGTTCAAAAGTGATTCATTCGCGAATATGGCATCGTCTGATTCTTAACAGCTGATTACACTGCAAAAAAAAGAGTTTCTAGCTTAGTATTTTTGTCTTTTTCCACTACAAATATCTAAACATTTATCAAGTCATTTTGCTTGTCAAGGATATGTATCTTGATTTAAGAATTTTTAGATATTTGTACTGGAATATAAGACAAAGATACTGAGGAGGAAGAACATGAAACACAACATGATTGCTGGAATATTGTCCGGGAAAATGATTCTCAGGTTGTATATCTTCATTGTCAGACAAGGATTTATCAGTATTTATTATTCACGAGGGGTAAACGCCGACGTAAAAAGGGTCAAAATAGTTTCAGACGGATAGTGAAACTTGTTTATTAGCCAGACCTCATGATTTCAGTGGTAGTGAATAGACAATGTAATTGCATTAGTATGAAAACCTATGAGAGATGTTCACTGAAGCTGTTCTGAGTCTGTGTGTGTGTGTGTGTGTGTGTTCATGTCACACAGCTGAGAGATCGACAGCGGTGTTCACTGCACGTGATGTTTGTTTATACCACGCTATCTGGGTGTGTGTGTGGGTGTGTGTGTGCGTGTGTGTGTGTGTGTGTGTGTGAGAACCACGCTCATCCTGTGTGTGGAACCGCTCGCCTGGGAACAATGCAAACTTATCTGTCTTTACACTCTTTCTCTCTCGCTTTCTCTTCGTCTCTGCGCTGCTCTGTGTTTCTGCTGAAGTGTGTTTGTGGGTTCAGAGATGTGGTTTCATCGCAACTTCACATTTCCTAGGATTTACACCCCTTCAGTAGTGTGTGTGTGTGTGTGTGTGTGTGTGTGTCTCTGCTGAGGCTCCGTTTTGCCTTGATCCATTATTCATCTTCCCCCTGTGTATCACAGCCTGGATGGCAAACGATTCACACAAACACACACACACACACACACACACTCGCATGCGGTTTAACTCGACCAAAGACACACTCAAACAATGATTTTCACACGCTCAGAGGAAAGGACAAGATTTATACATGCATTACAGCAGCAATGCGTGTGAGTGTGTGTGCGTGTGTATGTGAGAGAGAGAGAGAGAAAGAGAATGTGTGTGTGTTTCACAGTGTGTTTGACTGATTCACTGTCACAGTGCTAAAGGACACTATTGATTATTTCCCTGTTCAAGGCATTCAATCTCTACAAAACTGAATAGCATCAATAAACAAAGAAAAGTGATGCAAAAAGACTGCAAACAGCTCAAAATAAAGATATTAAAATGAATCATACATAAACCTTTCTATCTATCAATAGAAAGAATGATAGAATGATAGATAGAACAATCGAACGAACGATAGATAGAACAATTGAACGATAGATAGATAGAGATAGATAGATAGATAGATAGATAGATAGATAGATAGATAGATAGAACAATTGAAAGATAGATAGAATGATAGAACGATAGATAGAACGACAGAACAATAGATAGATAGATAGATAGATAGATAGATAGATAGATAGATAGATAGATAGATAGATAGATAGATAGATAGATAGATAGATAGATAGATAGATAGATAGATAGATAGATAGATAGATAGATAGATAGATAGATGGATAGATAAATAGATAGATAATCTCTTACCCTGGGGGAATGGATCCTCTGCTCGTCGTCACCGTGATCCGCTGCGTTCCCGGCCGGTTCAGATTATTCTGGCCGTTAATAGTAAGCGTGTGATTGGTGGGAAGCGTCACGAGCGCAGGAACACACGAGAAACTCCCCCCGTTCATCTCCATCTTCCCACCTCCACCTCCACCGACCTTTATGTTGTTATGGTGTCCCCTAGCAACAGTCGTCGTGGGCGACCAGAGGGAGGAGCCAGCGAAGGTGTTGCTCTGCCTGACGACCGCAGTCGCCGGGTCCGCCCCGTAGAGTCGCCGTCTCTGTTGCAGAGCCAAGATGGCGTTTGACGCGGCCCGTGTGCTGTGGACCAGCATGCATTGCTGGCATGTGCACGGGGTTCCCGAGTTGGTGCCCACGGGCCAGGACTGGGATTTGGGGATTGATCCGGCGATTAGCGGATACGCGAGGTCCATCCGCCGACGAATGCGCCGCTTTCTCTGACTCTGCCGGTTGGTTTGGGACATCCCGTCGAAGTCCACCAGGTAGCAGAAGCCCAGCGAGCTCAGGTCCAGCCAGGGGTGCTGCTTCTCGTACGCGTTCTGGATGCTCACGCACAACTCCATGTCATAAGGAGTCCAGGATCCACAGTCGTTTTCCCATTCCCACACGATGCCCTTTCCCGGAGACGAGGACGGGTCGTAGAAATTGCGCTGGACGGGACGCATTGTGCCTGTAAGAAGAAAGAGAGAGAGAACTGATGAAGAACTAATACAGTGAATAATGCAGTGTGAGATAAAAGCATCTGCCAAATGCAGTAAAATATCGATGTAAAAAACTTTACTCATTTATCATCCTGTTCTCACTTAGCAAAACACGTCTCGTTTTCCAGCACAAACGTCTAAACATTCTTAAACCAAGATACATTTCCTGGAGAAGCAAGATGACTGAAGATATTAAGACTTGTTTAAAAAGTCCCCCTGTGGTGAGAATCCAGCTTTTTAATGTTGTTTATATGTCTATGTGGTGTTTTTAATACGCTTTAAGACACACATGTGTAAGTTCATAAGTCGACAGCATTGCTGAGTATTTTCTCCTTAAAACTGCAGTGAACGAAAGACAGTCTCAAAAACACGGTTTGAAATCGCTGGTGTTTCTGACGTCACAAACGACCTTGTAACCAATCAGATCAACGTGTGATCGTCAACCAGTGGATCTCTGAGCTGAGGGAGTGAGTGGAGGCGGGGCTCATTTGCATATTCATAGAACCGCACATACTAAATGAGGCGAGGGTGTCGAGTTACATTCAAGATATTTTAAGGCATTTCAAGGTAAAAAAGTAAAAAAAATGTAATTTTGGTGATCATAGATGAGCTTAAAGAGATACAATTATTGACTACAGGGGGACTTTAATGAAAAATGTATCTAAATTAAGTGAGTTTGTGGCTAAAACAAAAACAATTATTTGTCAGTGGGGTCAGAAAAATAAACTTAATTCATAGGGAAAACAAGATTATTTTTCTGATCCAATTGGCAGATAATTTTTCATGTTTTAAGCATAAATAATTTTTATATCAAGCAAGTCATTCATTTTGCTTCTCCAGTAAATGCGTCTTGATTTAAGAATGTTTAGATATTTATAACAAGCGATTGCTTTGTGTACGTTTGGTCAAAAATGTTTCAGTTTCTGAGGCCCTGGGATTTTCATTTTTCAGAAATGACACACTGCAGCTTTAAACTGAGAATCAATCAAATTATTTGCAATCTACTCGTCTCATTGTACAATTATATATTACAGTTGAATCATGAGCTTTCTAAGATGAGAGTTTGATAAGAAGCTCCAGACCGGATGGATGTGACGGGAGGAAGATGGGAAGAGGAAGAGGAGAGGTGACACACACACACACACACCAGCATGACTGACCTTGAGTTTCCACAACCCAACCCTGACTCTCCCACCCGGGGCGATAAATCATAACAGCATTACTGACCCGAGGTCAGACCTCAAAGTGTCACATCCTTAAACTGAATCCGAAAAGTTTCGTTAAAGCTGCGAACGTTCGCACCAACAACACACAGCATCTCCCAGTTCCCCATTTACATTATAATTATTGACAGCGTTTGCAGGTGAAGTTTCATACACTTGCTTGTTATTGTAAAGTCTACAAAAAGAGTGTTTGCATGAGTAAAGATGTTGCATTGCGTAGTTTTTATAAAAGTATATCAGAGTCAAACTCTTCAAAATTTCAGCAACCACCCAGAATACCCTAGCAACACCATAGAAACCTCCCAGAACACCCTAGCAACCACCTAGCAACCCCCTAGCAACCACTCAGAATACCCTACTAGCAACCACCCATAACACCATAGCAACCAACAAGAACACCATAGAAACCACCTATCAGCGCCCTAGCAACCACCCAGAATACCCTAGCAACCTCCCAGAACACCCTAGCAACCACCTAGCAACACCCTAGCAACCACTTAGAATACCCTAGCAACCACCCATAACACCATAGCAACCACCAAGAACACCCTAGCAACCACCTAGCAGCGCCCTAGCAACCACCCAGAATACCCTAGCAACACCATAGCAACAACCTAGAACACCCTAGCAACCACCTAGGAACACCTTAGCAACCACCCAGAATACCCTAGCAACCGCCTAGCAACACCATAGCAACCGCCTAGCAACACCATAGCAACCGCCTAGCAATCACCAGAATACCTTAGCAACCAACTGAACACATGAATAAGCCATATCTCAGCACCAGAGCATCATACAAACATGGTTGTTGGCTCGTATGCAACCATGTGCCACACCCTAGCAACCGAGCGACGAGTTTTGCCACTGCAAGCAGCACTTCACATTTTCTTCTGGAAATGTACATTCTAGTTTACATTATAATTATTGACAGCGGTTGCAGGTGAAGTTTCATACACTTGCTTGTTATTGTAAAGTCTACAAAAAGAGTGTTTGCATGAGTAAAGATGTTGCATTACGTAGTTTTTATAAAAGTATATCAGAGTCAAACTCTTCAAAATTTACACGGAGACACTGAAGTCAGTCGATTCGTGATAAATTGTGAAAGTATTATTATACTGATTTGCATATGAAACGGAAGGGAAAACATCACAGAATTAATCAAATCCATCATACCTGGATAGACAGTGAAAAACTGAAGTCTGTTTCAAGAGATGATAACCAGTTAAAACAATATTTCCGAAGAAGTTTGGTTGGAGAGATACGCATGTACTCAGGCTCACAAAGTCGCGGACGCCATTTTGTGGAAGGAATTTCAATGGAAGATCAATAACACCACAAGCTGTGGCTAAAACAAATCCGAATCAATCGAGTCAATGTTGGAGGGGGTGCGGAGAGACAATGGCTACTCACTCACATATATTTTGGCAATGCCAATTGTTAGATAACTTTTGGAAATCCATTTTTACATATATTAATAAAGTATTGAATGTCGAACTGATAAGAGACCCTCTGATAGCAGTTCTAGGGATGAAACCAGTTGTGATACAGCCTGGGAAAACCCAGACATCTTCCGGCAAATTTAGATTTGCTCTGAGAGTTAGTCTGGCAAAGAGCTCCTTCAAGCCCATTTCCAATCCGCCGAAATCGAGGCACCAATCAGAAGCGTCGGGGCGGGCTTTACACGATGACGACAGCGCTGGGATTTTGAAGCAGATTTTGTAGCCTACATTACAAAGATGGATGCCGCCGTCGAACATCACTCGTTCCAATCAGCTATCACATCTGTTTTAAGCGATTTGAACGTTTCCTTTTTGTTAAAAACCGAGCAAAAGAACAACACTCGGAGATGTGTCTCCACCGCTCTGCATACGTCATCTCCTTCATCGCTCTGATTGGGTTTAGGTCTATCCGCGACGTCCGTTGGTGACGCCCCTCTGGAAATGATTTGTCTATGACGCTTTGACAGACCATAACTCAGTTACAACTGAGAATGGTCTGGTTTTAACCAGGGTAGTTGTGATACACAGTAGGAAAAAGATGTATTTATCAGTCCCTCCAGTTTTTCGCGATTCTGCGATCGCTGAATACAACGCAAAATCAACAAAATGTCGCATTTTTTTGCGATCCTGCATAATTCCTAATTTAACCTCAAAATAATCACAAAAATTCAACAAAACATTAAATTATAATCACCTAATTGAAATATCTCTAGTTAATTCAAGTTTCAATGCATTTTTACATGGTTACAGAATAGATGTTGCGCACGCGTGATGTCTGTGAGCGGTCTGTCAAACATGGCGAAAGAAAATGCGTCTCTCCTGCCCTCTCAGCGCCCAGGTTTTCATTAGGCAGTACGGCAAACTTATTAACGCGTTTGACATGATTGAATGACATAACAAAAAGTATGATATGCTCGATGGTACTAAAAAGAATTATTAAAAGCGCAGTATACCGTGAAAGAGAACTAATTTCAGCCAGTCGAGTGACAGTCTGTCTCTGACTGCAAGTGTGTGTGTGTGTGTGTGTGTGTGTGTGTGTGTGTGTGACTGACTGACTGACTGACTGCGTGTCACCGCCTGTCGGCCTAGTTAGAATATTGAATTCTCTTTATAGCGCTTGAACAAATACACATAGCTACAATTACTTCAAAATATTAATCTTGGCAAGTATTTACGTAAAACAATCAGTAATAACTGATTGGGACGTTTGTCATTACTGTAGTAGGTCTTAAAGTGACAGTAACCTAATTTACCTGCTGTTGTTAATGTTAATCAATCAACAACAATAGCCTACAGCACAATTTAAAAAAAAGAATTTGATTAGACCAAATAAACAAGCTTTATGCATTTTGTTTGTGATTTGTGTCATGTATGACTATTGTGCATCTGACATAATACTATTATGGTAAATGTGATATCCTAATTATAAAATATAAAAATCGCAAATTTTTTCACAAATTTCTGGAAATTACCACCACAAAATCAGTCATTTGATCGCAAAAATCACATTAAAAAATCGTGAAATCCTGGAGGGACTGATTTATTACAGATATTACTGGTATAGCAGCAAAGCCAACCCAAGCTTTTATAAATATTACACTATGGAAAAAATTACATATTCGTTGAGATTACAAAGTGAACTTTTTATTGAACTAACAGAACAGAACTAACTCTGATTATAACTGCCAGGGGAACTTGTACACACAACCCATGTTTTGTTTTAAGTTGATGTTTGTTCTGTTCACATTGTTTATTTGAAATGTTGTTAATTAATTTTTATTTCTTCTTTTACTTGTACCTCTGGACATATTCTCCTGTGGACTTGACCATACACGTAAGAGCGTGTGAATGTTATGCTACAGGATATTGTTTCTGAGAGGAAGTAACTGCTGAAGAATATTCAAAATAATAAAAAGAAAAACAATATTTCCAGGAAAACTGAAGCATTTCAATTAGAGACAAAAAACATCCGAATATTTAACATCCCGCCAAATAAAAGTAGTAAAATTATTTAAAATCCACCCATTCATTGCCATATTGTGATATGAACACCAACTAATGTGATTTACATGTTTAAAAAAAGCGAGTTTATTATTGTATCTTATATAACCCATAAATGATAGGATATGGAAATGCGCTGCATAACAAGAATTACAGTCGACTCGACAGATCTCGGCGTTCCTCGTTTCCTGGAACTGCATGACTGGATGAAAGTTTCCCGCAGGACTAATCATGATGCTCTGACTC